CCTTACTGAAGTGTGGTGTTTGAAGTCACTCGTTTCGATTCATCAGTCGGAGGGATAAATTAAAGAGCTGACAGGGAGGGGAGCAGAAACTCAGGAAAGCAGAGGCTGGATGAGGAGGGGAGAAGCCCTGAGAGGAACGCCTGCCGATGCCAGAAAATCAAGCGCTTGGCTGGGGAGGGCAGGCAGCAAGGGGGCCGCCCCAGCCAGCGCCGCTCTCTCCTTGCCTTGTCCCGGGCGATTCCCCAGGTGCGAGACCCTCGCCTGGACGCGGCGGCGCCCGGGGAGGGCTGCGCATCCCCTCTGCCCGGCAGCACCCTGCCCAGGGGACAACCAGGGGGGTGGTGGCTCCCACGGCTCTGCCTGCAGCCTCCGTGTCCCCCCCGGCACGAGGCCGGCGGCTGGTGTGCTCACTGCCTCGTCCCACCGTCGCGGGCAGGGCAGAGTTTAGCCCCGCTCAGCTCTGGAGACAAGCGGGAGATGCTGCAGGAGCGAGCCCGACCGGGCTGGTCCCCCCTCCGCCGCCTCCTTTTTGAGGTTCGAACGCTCACGGCAGCAACAATCAAAATAAATAAAGAGGAGCTGAAGATTATGTGTTCTGCTGATAGCGACGGGAGAGGAATCCAATAATAAGCGCAGTTCAAACACGGTGTCTAACAACACTTCCCAGCCCATCCCTGTCAAACGAGCCCAGCTATTTCCCTTCCTCCTGCATGATGTAGATTGATTGCTCGGTTTCATTAAGGACAAAGCGTGTTTAATAGCAAAAGGGAAGCGGGTCCCTGGAGGAGGGGAATCAATGCCCTCCCCGTGCCCCGCGCATCGATCGCGGGGATGCGCGGTGCCGAGGGCAGAGCCAGGGCAAAAGGGAGGTCCCTGGAGGAGGGGAATCAATGCCCTCCCCGTGCCCCGCGCATCGATCGATGCGCGGTGCCGAGGGCAGGGCACGGCCCCTCGCCGCCGTGGCGCGGCCCCGGCTACTTACTCTTCACGGTGAGAAACATGGACTTGCTGATGTCTGTGCCCACCCCGTTGCTGGCCTGGCAGAGGTAGTAGCCGATGTCCTCCTCCAGCACGTGGCGGATGAGCAGGGAACTGTTGGGCAGGATCTGGATGCGGCCCGTGAGGGGTATGGGGTGGTACTGCTGGGGGTTGCCGCTTCCTAGGAGGGGACACAGGGACACAGAGCTCAGCCAAGGCAGAGGAGCGTTTGTGAGGCTCGGTGCTGGGGCAGCCGTGCCGAAAGGGGACCGTCCCCCACCTGCACGGAGGGCCCCACGCGCTGCCGTGTCTCACCCCTACCTTTTGCATGTTTCCACATGACTTTCGGAGGGGGGTACCCGTCAACGGAGCAATTCAGCACCCCGGCTTTACCGTAAATGCCATCTTGGTTGTTGGGTTGGACCACAAAACGAGGAGGCACTGAGTAATTTGAGAGAAAAGAGGGTCGCTGTAGCCAAAACCCCATCAGCTCCTTGCAACTCCTCCCTGCTGGTGGGCACGTGGGTGCCCCGGCTCAGCCCTGCTCCTCACCCTCCCCGCCTGTTTCTGCACCACTCCTGCAACCAGAGAACAGCGTTATCTCCCTCTAGCCTCGTAACTCATCCCTGCTCCCTACCGTGCTACCCCTCCGTCGCTGGCCACCCTGCCGAGCCCGACACGGCAGCGGTATCGGGGACTGGGCTGGGCTGGGCTGCGCGCGCGGCTGGGTCAGCCCCACGGCACTCACCCCGCACGATGAGCTGCCGCTCCCGGCTGACGGTGGCGGCGTCGTTGCTGGCGATGCAGGTGTAGTTGCCGTTGTGCTTGAGGGAGACGCTGGAGATCTGCAGGGAGCTCATGAACTCCTTGCTCTCGATGGTGACGCCAGAGCCGGAGAGGATGACGTGCCCGTCCTTCCTCCAGGTGATGTGGATGGGCATGTCCCCAGAGGAGACCACGCAGGGGATGTAGAGGAGCTGCCCGATGGAGGCTGGCGGGAACTCGAAGGGCTGGATCAGCGGAGGGACTGTCGAGGGGAGAGGCAGAGCACGCTGGAGAGCCCGTCCAGGGAAAGCCTTCCTCCAGCGGGGATGGGCCGCAGCGGGGCTTGGGGGAGATGCTGCCCCGGGAGGAGAAGCAGCCCAGAAACTAAGGCAGGCTTTTGTTTCCACCAGGAACGTGGCCAGGGGAGAGCAGAAGGGGCCGCCGAGCAGAGGACAGCAGGAAGACGTCTCCCACCTGGCAGGGCCACCACGCTAAGAGC